ACGGTATAGGCACGGTTGGGGACGTGCTTACGTCCGTGCCTACGGTTTAATTATATTACCACCCCTTACATGTTTTTTCTCGTTTTTTCATTAACCACTCTCTTTCTTCGCCGCCATCCTCCTCCGCCCTCCTCCCTCATAACCTCTTTTCCTTTTAATGTCTTCAGCAAGGAGTACTTCCTTCCGCAGTAGCATTCGCGGTAGGGGAAGCTTTCAGCGTTCTCACTCTCGAGCACCACCGAAATCGCCATCTACCACTACCCCGCAGTCCATATTCAATGCCGGTGGCGACTTGGAGGCTGAGGTCGAGGTCGAGGACGGAGGAGGCGGCAAAGGAGGAGACAAAGTTTCAACGGAGGCTAGTGCGGTGCTGTATGGGGATTTTCCGCGCTTGATCACTAAGGCCGAATTGAAGGGGTAATTTTTTTGTTTTTTATTATCTCATATATTATTTGTATGATTTTTTAATTTTTTTCCAGCCAACAAGCTGTCCTAAACACAATACTAATTTATTTTTTATTACATTTATAGCTTCGTTACACATGGTTGCTCGGAGTTTTGAAGGGGTAATTTTTTTGTTTTTTATTATCTCATATATTATTTATATGTATATTTTTTTGAAGAATGATTTCTTGGCGAACCTAATTAAGAACCGTACAATTTTTTGTGTAGACTTTCTCAAAGCATTTTTTTCTTGCCAAAAGAGATTTTCTTGGGTACTAGAGATTTACTTATTACATGAAGATCCACATGACATTTTGTTTTCTCGAAAAGAAAAAAAGGCATTCAGCTTATTCATTTTTCATTTTCTTTGTTATTTACGCCTTAAATGAATTGTTTGTGAAATATAAAAATAAATTGTACTACTATATGGAGGTAATTTACCTAAATATGATTAAAACATAATGACTTTCTCAATATAGGACCATATGTTTTTATATCCCAATGTAAGATCATTGATCATGATAATTATGTATTAGTCATTATTCAACTAAATGTCCAATATCACTTGGACATTATTCTTCTCACTAATCATTATTAAGTCTTGTTTATGGAATAAAAAATCTTAAATTCTACATTGGGAAAGAAGTTATGTTTTAGTAATATTTAATGCAAATTTCAATTGCAATATTAGTAGGGGGGGTGCATGGGAACTCCACTCCCATAAGTACGTACGTGCGTGGGGTGTTTCTGCCTAAATTTCCCTTTTATTATATTTAGGCATCATTTATTATAGTTGACCTTTTAATTCCTCCCTATTCCCTAACGACCACAATTGCAAAATAGGGTTAGGATTAGTTCATGTTGTGAACTTTCAAGAGATAGAAAAATATTATTTTTTGGAGAAAAAAAATGTGTACGTATTAAAAAAAGCTTAAAGAAAAAGCTGAAATATATGGCACAACTTGAATGGTTGGTGATGATGGTGGTAGTAATGTACCCATATGTCCGTCTCGTGATTTTTTGTAACGTAACTTTCTTATCTTACATGTCTAATAAAATATTTTAATATAGCCTAAATCGGCATAACTATCCTTACTTTCTTTAAATCTTAAAGACTTACCTCAATTGCCTTCTACGTTCTATTCATTTTTACAATATTCAAGCACTACTTGGAGTATTATATTTTACGGGACAAATGAAGTATTAAGATTCATTCTTCTTTTTTCCCAAACACTCTTTATGTGTTGGATAAAAGATGTGTTAACAAATAACCATGTATGAATAAAGGCGTTGCATATTGGTGTAATAATTCTTTACAAGATTGATCATATTTCCCTTCAATCATTAATGATTGTAAAACTGTTGTCTTATGTAGAAGATTTTTTTATTTTCAGTTTGTATATCACTCAGCTAATAAGGCAGTTGATGTATTGGTATGAGCTTCTCATTCTCCTTAGAGTGTGGGTGAATGAGTTCATTTAAGTAAAATTTGCACTAAATAGGACTAAAACATAATGTCTTTCCCAATGTAAGACTTAAGCTTTTTTATTTCCTAAATAGGACTTAATAATGACCTAGTGGGAAGAATGATGTCCAGTAACGATTGACATTTACTTGAATAATGACTACATGATAATGACCAAAAGTCCTACATTGGGAAATAAAAATATATGGTCCTATATTGGGAAAGTCATTATGTTTTAGTCCTATTTAGGTAAATTACTCTTCATTTAACTCGAAACTTCATCATTTCGTTAATTTAATTGGAATGCGATCTTTGGTTTTAAAAAAAACAAAATAAATTAATGTTAGGTTCCAAGGGGGGACTAAATTTTGGTTCGAACCGATTTGTTTCAGTTGGACTCAGTTTCGGCTATGAACCGAACCGAAATAGAAAAATGGGCCTGTTGGTTTGATTCGCCCTAAGACTGGCTGTGACTGTGGCCGAACATCTCTGCAATGGAAGAAGAGAAGAGAGACGGCGGCGGAGGGGAGGAAAACGGCGAGAAGGAAGGGCACCACCTACTGGGTGAACCGACCTTCGTAGTACTGGAGAATGGGCGCTTCAAGTGCGTGGAGACCGGCCACGAGCTCCCGGCGCACGCCAGGGACTCCTATGCCCGGAGCAAGCACTGCCGTTTAGGCCTCATCGATGCAGCTCTGGCTTCTAAAAAGCCCATCCTCAACATGTTCTCTCAAGATCCTCTTTCAAAGTAATCCCCTTTTTATATTTTTCCTTCATATTTATCTCTGCAGTATCGAGTGATTTTTTTTGTTATTTATTGTCTTTGGATTTTCTTTTATGTCAAACGATTTATGGTTGTTGGAAAATCTACAAACGATTATGGGGAAGCAGATGCAATAAAAGTGTTTGCACTTGAATCTTATAAACGTTTTGAATTTGAGCATTAACATGATGCTATGTTTGGGTTATATGATTTCATTTGAGTTGCAGGATTTGAGTTGAAATCTATGTTTCATCTCATTTGGATCATTCTCTGAATCAATAGTTTGAATTGTTTCCATAGTTTGTGGGATTCAAATTCCAACATTTTCAAATTCAAGGATTGAATGTCAAAAATTAGGTTCAATTTCTTGGATCCAAACACAAGTTTTTATTTTCCGTCTTCCCTATCTGATTGATCGTTCGTTTACACCCGCTACACAGCTATGTACATTGTGACCTGTGCTTTAAGTATCTCTTCCTAGTCTGACCTCCCTTCTTTCTTTATTCTGAACTGACCCTGCCCAATCCCTTCTTACTCTTATCAGGCCCCTCTTAGATTCTTAGGTGCCCATTTGCCCCCCCCCAGGACGTACTGCTCTTTACAAACATTGATCATTCCCAATTATCCGTTTGATGTCGATTTTAGGGATATCCAGGCCTTCTGTTTTCAAATATGAATGGTGTTATTGTTGTGGGGTTGCTGCAGGTCAAAATTAAAATGCAAGTTGACAGGTCTCATTGTTAACAAATCTGAGGAGCATATTTGGAAGCATATTAATGGGAAACGCTTCCTAAGAATGTTAGGTCTGTAACTTGCTTTCATTTGTTCGGTTCTGCTATTGAGACTTGCAGTGACCAAAATGCATTAAAGTTCTAGTGAAAGGACCTTTCATTGATCAGGCTAATCTTGATATGTATCCAAAATTTTGACAGAGAAAAAGGAAGCAGAGCAGGAGATGCCTGATAAAATGCTGGAGGAGAAAACAGAACAGCAAGAGCAGGAAAAACCAAAGAAGAAAAAGAAAAAGGGGAAAGTAGAAAAATCTGAGAGCGTTATAATATCTGAAATGAGAGATCCTGCAGGTAATGAGAGTGATACAGAAGAAGCAGACTTCTGGGAGCCTCCGGTTGGAGAACGTTGGGACTGTGATGATGGGGGAGACAGATGGGGTTCTGACTCAGAGCCAGAACCAGAAAATGATGTTGTCGATGCTCAAGGTATGCACTCGAACCCAACCTTGTTAAACCAAGCTAAAAGGGTTATTTAGCCAAACACCAAGAATTATTGAAGTGTTTCAGCTCGGGATTTGTTGTTAAGAAAAATGTTCATGTCCCTGTATGGCAATCAGTCTCAAGATCAAGTGGATATCGTAGTACAAATTGTAGCATTTTTAATCTTTCTTTGCTTAGCCGTTAAATTACGGAGGTTTTTTTTTGTATTTTGTTATCAAAGGATTTCATGCCAAACTCTTTCTGACTTTATTTATCATATTGTTTTTACCACTAGATGAATTGTCTGAAGAGGCTGCCCATGAAGCAAGAAAACTCTCTAAGCAGTAATTTTGAAACTAGCTCTTTGCATTTCATGAATAAATCTTGACATCCATTCCATCCTTCACTATCATGAAGATGTGCTATAGGGGAGATGAGTNCCCCCCCCAGTCCTCACACAAATATTAGGATTGCTCTTTTTTCCTATTCTTTTTTTGGGGTCAGACCTTAAGGAATCACTTCTCAATGCTGACGATATGCTTAATTGTTTTGAAGGACAAAACGAATGACCATTGAGATTGGACCTAGCAGCTTTGCTTCGAGGAAGAAGAAGAAGAAGACAGATGCCTCATGAATATATTCTTAAGCGATAAAAAAACAGTGAGCATTTAGTGAAAGTGAAACTGAACTTCTATGCAGGTTGCCGGCTATGTAAGGTTTCGTCACATGCATGTAACTTTTAAGAGACCCTTATAAAGTGTTTCTATTATGTTCTTGACAAAAAAAAAAATTAATGGGTGATAGGAAACAGAAAAAGCATTCCTCATTGTTCTTAATGTTTTCATTATGCTTTCTCCCGACTTGATCTTCTTCTTTTGTACCGAGTATATTTCTTTTCACTGCTCCTAAGTTTTGTTTTTCAGCCATTGAATTCTCTATTCTATTATTCTGTAACGGCCTTACATTGTGCGATTTGTGAGGCTTCTCCATTGCAATTGTACTTAGTTTTCTTCATCCACATAAAAATCAATTCGGAATATAGATACAGTTTCAAAATTGTATCTATATCTAAAGTCTCGGGGACTGATATTTTTTGTCTACCATATATGGGAAATTCAAAAGTTGCTGCTTTTTATACTCTAGTGGAGTAATAATTATACAATTTGATTAGTTGTTTATCCAGTAATATGCATTACAAGCCTGATAACATTGAGTTCTGCATAAATGAAAACTAAATGTTACAAGTGGTTTGATCGGAAGCTTTCTTTGGTGTTCAAAGCATTGGAAAATGTCCAAAGGGCCAAGAACCCCTCCCTAATTCCAACCTTGTTCGGGTGTTTCGAGCCATCATATTCGCAGCCTCCTATTCCCACATTTTCTTTTTTGCAATTAAAACCCTTTCTTCAGCCAGGGAGAGAGCGTCCCTCCGAGGTTCAACCTCTGAAACCAAGCCGTCCCAGTGTAATGCCGTCAAGAACGTTCTTATGTGGTTTATAACACCAGGCCTGTCTCTTATAATGACGAATCCTTCTGGCCTTAGCATCCGGTCCATCTCTATAAGTAGGTCCTCTCCGCTACACCCACGGGACTCTACCTCTGAGAATGCCACGTATGCATGTATCAAGTCAAAGGTACGCGGGTATGTTGAAAACGATTCACACCTGAATATTAATACCTGATCATTATTAGTATTTGTCAAATCTCACAAACCTTCCAACCAAACAAATGATAATGCTGTCCCGAAACACTACAAAAAAAATAGTACTCAGTAGTATGAAAGTTGCTCACCAATCATGAACAGTTCCGATTAAGCCTCGATCATAAATGATTTTCAATCTGGAAGATGCATTAACTGGAGCAACATTCATCACCCAGACATCCTTGTCTTTGAGAGCAGCAGCAAATCCACCAAGGTTTGAGTTCATGTCCATAACATTTCTGAAAGTGTTTTTCTGTGTGACAACACTTCTCATCTGCTTCCAATAGTCTAATACTCGATCATGCCATACACTCTGCACATAGCTAACAAGATCACAATATTGACATAACCAACAACAGCACAAAGCACAGCTATTCCAAATACTTACAGTGTCTTTTTGAAATTCTTCCGGACTAACATTCAGTTCTTTCAAGCGAGGAGGTGCTGCAGTGAGCCTATGTGGCCAAGGTTCTAGTCCACTCCCTTTGTCCCGGTGCATCTCTTAATATTTTGGTAAAGAAAGAAACAAGAGAAAAGCAAGTTGTAAGGAAGAATTCAAAATATTTGAAACGTTAGTGCTTGATATAATGCTTACTTGACGAGTAGGGAGTAATGCAGGCCTTCATGGGAACATCCCAAGTGGCATCTGGATCCTCACCAGAGTTGCACAATGGCGGCACCGTTCCGGGGCTTCTCTTTGCATAGCAGCTATTACTCAGAGATTTAGCCCATATCACTGTTTGTTCTCTCCTTGAAACAACTCTCCAGCACATTCTTTTGAAAAGGTCATGCATAGCGTTTCCTATTTTTTGGTTCTCAGCATCGTGTGCATATGCCTCTGGTGAGGAGTACACGAAATAGCCACCAGGCCGGAGCAGCCTGTCCAATTCTAACAAAAGAATGCCATCCCGTTGAAGCCAATCAATCCTACAACGGGAACAATGAGCCAATTCAAATGATCTACTTGGATAAGGCAGTCTTTTGGTTCCCAAGACGCCCAATGTAGACGGAATCCCCCTCTCCAACGCAAACTGTATTTGATTCTCATGCACGTCGTTTGGAGCAATCGACATAGCTATGATATCGTGTGACAGAAGATATGCCCCAAAGCTAGCAACACCGCAACCCACGTCAAGAACATTTCGTATATTTCCACCATTACTGAGCTTTTCACCAGGGAATTTGAGCATCTACAGAAGCAGAGTAAAAAAGATCAATTTTTTTTTTGGCAATACCACTGATTGGGTCAAGCACTGCTTGCTTAGACAAGAAAACAAATGAGCAATACCGATGCAATAGCTACAATATACTTCTCAGCTCCATCATGAAAATGTGTTCCCCCGCCAGGAAACCTTATTATGTCTCCATCAACCACCATCCAGTTTTGGTCTGATTTCTCTTGGGCTAGATGCGTGTGAGGTATGTTTGCTTTCCACACTTGATCCCTACTGGCAGGCCATCTAATTGGAATCTGAGTGTCTAACAATGAATCATCGGCATCAATTTTAACAGACAGAAACTTGGCACAGTCCTTAATACAGAGAGTCGTATATTACTCCTTAAATGTTTACTCAATATGAATAAAACAATTCCTCTAAAAAAAAATATGAATAAAACAAGTATTCTATCTTTCTTACCCTGCACAAATTTCAGAAGTGCGTGGTGTGATTGGACCAATTACTGACCTTGTAACCGGATGGGGGAGGAATGAGGCAATTGTAGCGACGCTGAGGAGGCGGGCAATGTCTCTCGTAATGCTCCATCAAAGACAAGTTCAGTTTTAACTTTGACTGATAAATCCAATTCCGATCCAAACAAGGTATTAACTCGGAATAACTCTTATCACACACCTATAAAAGGATAATCAAATTGGCGGGCGAACAAGCATAAACAAACAATGAACCACTTCAATTCTCGTATAGTAATTTTCAAATCTCAATTGAATAACGTGGAACATGACAAAAACAAATTGCATTCAGAAGCTTACAGGAATTCTTTTGGGGAGTTCCAGGGGGTGCTCCGTATGATCGAGCCACTCTTCAACATCGCTGCCTCTTCCGGTGAGGGGATCAGAGCCATCTTTGAAAGTTTCGAACCCTCTTGACAGGCGAGGTGCGATGGAGGAACCGTTGTAGAGACAAACCAAAGCGAGGAGCACGATCAGTCCAATGAGAACGTACTTGAGCAGCTTCGCCGGGGAACGCGGAACATCTCTCTTCCGCTTCATCACCGAGAAAATTTCAGCAACTGGCTAGGGTTTTGAGGCCGGACGGCGCTGGATTTCGAACTATATGTGGAGAATTAATTAATTGAGTAAATCGCTGGATGCAGATGCTTATCTGCGAGAGAAGGCAATGGATCATTCTCCGCGCATTCCTTTTTGGGAATGATGCTCTCAAATTAAACCGAAACAATCTGGTAGCCGGCCAGTTAAGTAAACTTTCGCGCAGTGTTTCCCAATGCAGAGGCGGCGGCGGCGGCGGCTTAGCTGATTTCAGGCGATGGATGAGCCTGCCGGAGACAATGGGATCGAGTAGGGTGTAAGGTAGGTAGCTAGGTGGGATAGATAGATAGGTGCACAGAATACAATGCTACTGCTACTGCGAGCTCGGCCTGGCCCACCTCCCTTTTTTTATAGGTAAATGACATTGTGCACCCCTTGATTTGCCAAAATTTCAAAATGCACCCCTCTAGAAAAATTGATGAACCCCATTTTACTACTCCATCCGTCCCATAAAACATTTCCTGTTTCAAAAAAGGCGCACCCTTAAAATGAGTAATTTTGATGTTATTTTCTAATTTTGTCCTTACTTTATAAAAGAGTAGGATGAGATGTGTAGAATAGATTAGTCATAATTAAAAAATTACACTAAAATTACTCATTTTAAAGGCGTGCCATTTTTGAAACAGGAAATGTTTTATGGGACGGAGGGAGTATTTCGGATGGTCCCTCACAAATTTATGCATTTTACTATTCTCAATTACAAATGTTTGAACTGCGGGGTTCTAGTGACACCAGAGTACGGTGCCACTGGTATTTTGAGGCACCTCCGGTGCTCCGTTCGCAAAATTGATGGTTCCTACCCCTCTAACCCCACCCCCTAAACCCCCACCCTACCCCCGCTCCTGCACCCCCACCCCCACCCCGCCGTAAGCCTCCACAAAATGTGTGGCTATTATGCAACACTCACTCAGACCTGACGGTCACTGAGAGGAGATAAATTGGTATTTAATCGCAGATTGATGACAAATGGTAGAGCCTGCACCTGGTACTTGTAAAGACCTTATGCTTAGCATAGTTGCCTCTTATCACAGTTTCCAGGAATCAAACTCAGGTCTTACCCCATTGGCACTCCTTACTTTGCTAACTGCGTAATGCCCACCGACAGAAAAAAATAAAAATAAATGGAAAGTAGGACAATATCCATTTTGATTTGAAAATTAGGAATAAATACCCAACTCATCCCCAGAAAACTAAACAAGAAATAGTAGGAAAAGATGCCGGGGCAACATTTTGAAACAATAGAAATTTTAAAAATAAATTTTGAAAACGTGGATATATTGGGTGCATATTTTTGAAACTTCGAGGACATTTGAGCTATGTGGTCGAAATTATAGGAGCAATCTGGTTGAAATTATATTATCAAAGTATGTTTAGGACAAAAAAAATATTTATTTTCAAAAGACTAAAGACAATCTCTCATAAAAAAAGGTAGTAAAACAAATGAATTTCTCTAGGAGTAATTGGTGTTAGAAAAAAAAGTAGTCCTAGAAGTTTCTTTCGCTGTGTGAGGAAAAAAATACAGTAAGTACCACACCTCCTTTTTGAAACCGTTCACTTTGCATACAAAGTGATTATTACTTTTGGGTCAAACTGAAGATCAAATCCTAAACCGGTAAAAAAAAATCTCTTTTGTGGATAAATCGTGAAAACTGAAAGTGAGAAAACCCCGTAACGTAAGTAACGCAGGGGAAGTTTCTTTCGCCGTGTCTTGGCCGCCTCTGCGTGTTTCCTCGGAAAATCTGCCCCGCGTATATACCAGACCACATCTCTGAATAATACATCTCTCCCGTTAGAGAGAGAGAGAGAGGTTATTTTCTGCGTTTGCTTGTTTCGCGATTGATTTCGACAGCCGTTACCGATCCGTTCGTTTTCGGTCGGAGTAATTAATTTAGGATTTCTCGAGGGCGATAGTTGTTGTTGTCGTTGACTGGATTGATGGGCGGGAAGAGTTCTAGGGACGATAGCTGGAGGCAAAGTTCTAGGTCAACTTCATCTTCTTGGAATTATGAGTATCCCCCCCAATCCGCTCCCTCCTATCAACAACCCTATCAACCGCCAGAGCCCTACAATTACCCAGTCGAGCACGCGTTTCCTTCCTACGCGCCGCCGCCTCAGCCGCCCTATCACCCGCCTTCTCAAGATCTAGGGCCCTCCACTTACACCCTGCATCCTCCCCAGAAGAGGCTTGACCGGAGGTATTCAAGGATTGCTGACAATTTCAATTCCCTCGAAGAGGTATCTCTATCTGCAGCCTCTTTTTTGTTTTTAACATTCACTTCTGCTATGTGTAAATTACAGTTCTTTTTTTTCTTCCTACGGAGTATATTAATCTTGGCATTCACAAAGATCTACTCCCTACTTTTTTTTTTATTGGGAAAGGGCATGTCTTTCAAAGTTACACGCTTTTTTTTTTTAT